TACTTACCGTACTGTATACATTTGAAAGATGTGTATAAGAGACAGGTAATACACAGCATACATAATTTGAATATCAATAACTATGATTTTCTAGCTGCAACCTCTACCCTTTTCTTGCTTGTCAATATTTCCACTTTGTGTGCGAGCGTTTAATCAGTTGTATAAGAGCATAACTAGTCTAGTAGGAACGGGGGGTTCCCATGCACCCCCAGGATATATTTTTTAACTAACATTTTTGTAATCTTCAAAGTATCTCATGAACGAATTTTGATGTTCCCATCGAAAAAAATTGTCCCATGGGGTCGTTTGGTGGCCATTTTGGCGGCCCTCTTGGATTTTGAATGCAAATCAATTATTTCATTAAATTTTTTTTACTGAACATCATATAAAATCAAATTAACCTTTAAATGTATATAGTAAGCTGTGTCTATGTTCTTAATACAAAACATTGACCCCGCATTTACATTTGGCGGCCATATTGGCAGCCATATTGGATTGTCAATGGAAATCATTAATTTGTATAATTTATTAACTAAAAATAATATAAAATCAAATGAACCTCTACATATATAGGCCTATGGTATAAACAGTGTTTACTTTCTCGATACAAAACATTCACTTTGCAAAACATTTGGTGGCCCGGCCATTTTGGCAGCTATATTGGCGGCCACATTAGCGGCCATATTGACTTTTAAATGAAAACTGATTATCCATATAACATTTGACCTATATTATACAAACAAAAAAATAATTAATTTTTTTCAAAGTAATCTTGTCATTGGGAATTGATTGATGACCATAACGATTCATTTAATTTTGATACATTGAAACTACAAACTACATTTACACTCAAAATTTAATTTTAAAAAATGCTCTGATCCTGGTGAAAAAAAGCACTTTTTAATGGTATAGGCCTAATATATGGTATAAAAATAAAAAAAATAATCATGTTATGTCCAACCACGGTACAAACTAAAAACTAATGGTCAAACTCAATGACCATGATTTTCTCTGGCCAATGTGATTCAAGCTCCCTGTTCACAAATGCTATCCACACCAATGAACACCAGTAAGATGCAATGTTTGGTTTCACCAGGGAACAGTGAAATTTCACAATAAATCAACTGTACGCTTATTATTAGTACTACAAATGCCATTACATCCAATGAGTCTTTTTCGTGGATGTTTTTCAGAGAAAATCCCTTATAAAATTATGAAATTCTTTAATATGGCTCTAATTAATGAAGGGCCCGCTCTACACCTACATTAATATTATTGTCGCCAAGGAGGTTATGCATTCACTGTTGTTTGTCTGCCTTTTAATAAGATCACAAAAAACGGATCATCATAAAATTTACCAGAGTGGTACATTAATGATCATAAGGCTAGTTGCAACAGAATATCGGCCTATTAGCTTGCTTGAATTAACCAAGCCGATGGTTCACAAGTTGAAATTTGGGATATAGGTTGTGGGTGCCTTACTGCAACCACCAAGTTTAAAAGTATTAAGTACACACACTCCTGACCAATCTCCATGGTGGCATCCTCTCACTGCTTCTATAGATCCTTGATGACTGAATATTTTGTGCATGGCTGGTAGGGGTAATACTGGCGATGGTTGATTTTCAGAAGAGTTTTTCACTGGTACCTGAGACAAAGCCACGAAATCCTGGAACAAGTTTGTTTCTCTCCGCTGCTATCAATATGCAAGTAACCAGACATGATACTCTCGAATGCACTTTGTTACACTGTTCAGTGTGGAAAGATTGAATACAGCTCCATCAGAAAAATTTGGCCCAGCACAACCTGAACTGGTGCCAGTGTTGTCACGATCATATCAAGGGGATATGATTGTGATCCTGGCACGATCATATCCTCTTTCAAGGAGCACATTTTAGTTCGTTTGTAGACAAGAAAAGCCCGGAGCTCAAACTCAAACCTGGGTTTTACCTCTTGTACCTCGATTCCACCAGCATTGTTCAACACAGTTTGAACCTTAAATATTAATTTATAATTTTGTTCAGATTGTCCCATTCTAAATGAAAAATGCTGTTTGAGCTGAGGAATGAGGGAAGTGAATACATCGTCATGAGCTGATAATAAATCTGATCAAAATTATGACATTCAGTCATGGTTCAATGTGTTGAACAGTGCTGGAATCATAGTGCTAGGAGGTGAAACCCAGTAATTAGGATAAAGTGCTCCGGACGCTAAATGTCTACGCATGAAGCAAGATGCACTCATGAGAGTGGATATGGCCAAGATCCTTGGATCAGTTTATATATGGTCATGTTGGGAGCTGCATTCATTCTGCCTGCACAAATTGCAGAGTGCATTCGAGAGTATCATATCTGGTTACTGGCACATACGGTGGGGAACGGAGAGAAACAACTTGTTCCAGGATTTGGTGGTTTTGTCTCATGTACTGGTGAAAAGTCTTTCCAAAACTCAAATATTCTACCCCTATCAACCAGCCATTTACAAAAATTGTGTCATCAAGGAGCCACAGAAGCAGTCAGAGGAAACCGCCATCCATGGAGATTTGACAGGAGTATTTTCTCAAACTTATGAGGTTGGTGGCTGCATGGAAGACCTTCCCCTAATTTCCTAGTAGAGACAAACCTATATCTGAACTAACTTCAAATTATTTTAAATATTCTGATGCCCCAAGCCTAGAGATGGTGGAAAAGTGTGGTCGAGTCGACCTATCCTTTAACCTTCACCAAACTACTGTTGAGTTATAATGAGGAGGAAGAAGGAAGACATTCAATTATAGGCTGGAAGATGGACGATCACTAGATATTCCATTATTTTCTTTTATGCTCGGCTGTAAAAAATCAAATTTCAATGACCATGGCCTTTACCTCCAAAAATAGTATCACTTTCTTTTATGTGTAGTGTGTTCAGTTATTCCAAATAACATTACTAGTAGTAAAACCATAAATGGTTTAAGAAACCGGTTTGCTATGTTCGGCATACCGATTGAGCTTCTTTCAGATAATGGACCGCAGTTCGGATCGGAAGAGTTTGAATTATTTCTTACTCGAAATGGTATTCAGCATACATTGGTTGCTCCATATTATCCAGCATCTAATGGTGCAGCGTACAAATTTGTATGGAGGAGAGATGGTCTGTTTGAATGTTTAGACTTAAATTAAGCATGTAATTAAGAAGTTGGGTCCTCTCACCTATTTGGTGCGTGTTTGTGCGCTATTGTCATGCCGACCATCTGAGTGTAAGGGAAGGTAACACACCCTGAGCTTTTGCCCACGCAAAGTTCCACACTCTCTGAAACCACAAGGGTTGTCGAAAACCCCAGAGTGAGAGAACTGGGAGTTGACAAATGTCAAATAGTTCTACCAGCTCAGAAACCCCTATTGCGAAGATCCTCCCGAATAGCTACGACACAGACCGTTCAAATTTGTAGTTCAAAGTTAGTTGATGGAAAGTGTAGTGCACTGCACTCTCAATCAATACAATCAAATTTCATTGAACATTCAAAGTGGCCGCCAATATGGCCGCCAACTGTATTGCTAAGTCAATATTTTGTATTTAGAATATAAAACACTACTTACCGTACTGTATACATTTGAATTTATGTGATTTTAGTTTAAATTTATGATTTTTTTTTGAAAATCCAAGATGGCCACCAAAATGGCTGCCCAATTGGGAAGTCAAGGTTTTGTATTGAGAACGTTATTGTATTGGGAACATAAACACTGCTTACAATGTAAATTTAAAGGTTCACATGATTTAAAATGATTTTTAGTTAACAAAATATACAAATTACCGTAATGATTTTCATTGAAAATCCAATATGGCCGCCAATATGGCCGCCATATGTATTGCGAAGTCAATTTTTTTTTGTATTAAGAACATAAACACTGCTTACTATATACACATAGAGCTTCGTTTGATTTTATATGATTTTTAGTCAATAAATTATAAAAAATAATGATTTTCGTTGAAAATCCAAGATGGCCGCCAAAATGGCCACCAAACAATCCCATGGAACATTTTTTTTTTCGATGGGAACATAAAAATTCTTTCATGAGACACTTTGAGGATTACAAAAATTTCAGTTAAAAAAATATATCCTGGGGGTGCATGGGAACAACCCCGTTCCTACCCGACTAAATGTTTATGCTTGTCAAGTGGCACATATCAAGTTGACACGAACAAAACGACACTTGAGTGCGCGTTCCTTTATTGTAATTTGAGAAGTATGAGAAAAAGCGTGTAATGATAATAGTAAGATTGGTTTTCGGCACATGGTAAAGTAAATTAAAAATACATCAAAGACAACAGAGTTTTATTTTCAATGGAACATCACAGCAATTAATTTAATCGATAATAATGAATTTAATTATAAAAGTGTCATTTCCGGCAATCTAGAGGAACTATGGTATTTCCTCAAATGCTCCCACCTCAGCCCTTAAATCAGATACATCAAAGACAATATTTTAATATTTATTTTCTATCACATATTAAGGGGGGGGGGGCAAAAGTCCGGGGGCTAATGTCACGAGGGGCAAATGTCCAGGGGGAAA